CACAATACAGTATAAGACAGAAGAATAGGATGTTATACAGTATCATACAATATAATACAGAATAATACAATACAATACAGTATAATACATAAGAAATGAGTGTTATACAGCATAATACACCACAATACAATATAATACAGAATAATACAGCATTATACATAAGAATAGAGTGTTATACAGCATTGCACAGCCCAATACAGCATGAGACAGAAGAATAAAATGTTATACAGTATCATACAATATTAATGCTCACCACACCAGCCACATTCACCTGAATTAAGCTACCATCTAAAATACTACCAAGATACTGAACCTAATCCGACACCTAAATCTCTATCTCTATCACCCAGTCCAACCATCTGACCGACTAACATTACTTTTCCAGGGCGAAGACACTCCCCGGCGGTGCAACGCGTGACCTTCTCCCAGGTTCTCGTCGTCGGAGCTCGCGCAGCCAGTGTCTATGATACCGTGAAAGTCCATCACGCGCGTGAGGATGTCGTCGAGTGGTGAATTTTCGACTCTTTCGAGTGGTGAGGTCACCGGGACCGGCGACGATTCGTTGCCAAGTTCGCGGGAGGCGACCGCCGAAGCAGCGAATTCCGGGGCCGGATTTATGCCCCTGCGCGAGTTCCTGGACAGATTCTCTCTTCCCAGGGTGGTCAGGGTGGAGGGAGCCGGCGGACGACCGATTCTGTTGTACAAACAACAACAGAGATCACTCAGAGTCACGGCCACCCTGCTGATGCACCGTTACCGTCACGACGTTAAAGTTGGACCGGAAATCGTGATCCCGGAAGGATACCCTGGTGAGTACCGAGATTCATCTTCCTGCTGTTCTCGACGGACTGTTGGGGGGAGGTGATTGAATTTAATTCGAATTGCCGTCCAGATGGGCTGTGCAGATTGATTTTGTTTGATGAAGGCGATTATGGGAAAAATTGGTGGGAAGATTGCGCCGATGGAATTTATTCGCGACTACGTGAATTGAATTAAGATAATGACGAAGAGACATTTAAATAGCATGCACTTATAAAGTTAAGTGGGATAAAATGTTATTTTAAGTGGAAGGGGTTGGAAACCTACAGCATTAGGAAACGCCATTTTGAAATTTTGAAGGGTTCCTTTTCTAAAAATTGAGACACGCTAAAATGGCGTGGGAAGATTACGACGATGGAATGTATTCACGACGACGCATTTGAATTAAGATAATGGCGAAGAGATGTTTAAATAGCATTTGTAAAGTTAAATGGGATACAATAATATTCTATGGGTTGGAAATCTACAGTATTAGAGTACACTCTTTTGAAATTCTGAACGGATACGTTTTCTAATAAAAATTGGGACATAGTAAAATGGCGTGGGAAGATTACGGCGATGGAATTTATTCGCAACGACGCAAATTGAATTAAGATAATGACGAAGCGATGTTTAAATAACAAGCATTCATAAAGTTAAGTGGGATAAAATGTTATTTTAAGTTGAAGGGGTTGAAAGTCTACAGGATTAGGAAACCCCATTTTGAAATTCTGAAGGTTTCGTTTTCTAAAAATTGTTACGCGCTAAAATGGCAAAAAATTAGAAGTCCTGTCGTAATTTATGGTGATGAGTGACCTCGAGCAGGTAATGTAGTCTGTTCTAACTACGCTTATTGGTATACACGCTCGCTGGTTTCTCTTGTGATAGTTATTGGAGATGAGAAATCACGCTTTACCAAGCAGAAAGATCATGTGGTGTTGCCGAGTCTCTTCGTGATGCAAGTGAAGTGTAGAATAATCGCACTATTTCAAAGGTAATCTAATGCTAATAAGAATTTCAATGTAACGCGAATTACGTTGGGTAATCAACAATTAATGTTAGTTATTATGCTGCATGTAACAAATTATGCTTACGAGACATACTAAGTCGTTAGCTACTTGTAGAATGGATCTATTATCTTCCTAGTGGTGCATTTATTATCTTGACAATTATAGTATATACACAGCCCTTGAAATATTTTCTTTCCATTGTGCCGTGTATCTGAAATTTTCAATCCATATTTATTAGCAAAAATTCAGACAGCGCAGCAAAATGAGTTTTTTTTATATATCTCATATATTCTATATATCTGAAATATATCATATATTTTGTATATCTTTTTTATATCTTTTTTATATATCTAAAAAAGATATACTTTATATAGTTTAATATTTTATATATTTTATATATTTTATATATTTTATATATCTCTTTTATATATATATATATCATTTTAAAATATCAAATTTTATTATATAGTATCACCAAGAAAATTAACAAAAATAAACCAGCTCTAGAAATTTCAGATCACTTTAATCAACAGTAAAAAAATAATTTTCCGTTTCGAAAGTGAAATTAAATTATACGATCGTGTCTCGTGCAACGTTTTACTACGATCTAAAGATGGTGCACGCATTGCGATCTACAAACCACGAAATCAACCGAGCAGAATATTCTTCCAAAACGGTATGCAAAGAATGCGAGCTCTAATTGCGCTTATCTATCAATCTCCCTGACACAAAGTCAGAAAATCCGGTCAATTAATTCTCGGCCAACCTAATATTATATGTCGAATGAACTCGGACGGAAAGAATTTCGCTATCTACGCGATCGGCGAGTAGCGAGTATAATAAGAGAAAGAGGCAAAACGAGATTCGTATCATTCCTGAATTGCACCCCCGTCCTTTAGTATGCGAGACAGCTGGAACTTTTCCCTGGCCAATAAATCAAGTCAAGGAGAACCGTCAAAACGCTAGGCGAAGAAAAAGCGAAAGCCGATAGGCGGGCAGCCAGAAATTCATTAAAGTACAGTGCGCCGATGGCGCTTAATGGACCGCGAGGTATCCGTAACTGTATAGAATTGACCAACCGTGCCGTGTGTCGATATATCGATCACGTCGACGGCGATGATCGATCGTGCGCGCGAATCCTATCGGGAATTCGATCTCGGATTAAAGCCATTGCAGCTGCTTGCACAAGATCGCGGCTAAGAAAGCGGCCGATTAATAAACTGCTCCTTTGATCGATGAAAACGTTTACGGTTTTCATCTTTCCTTTTTTTTTTGTCCTCGGGGACGCTGGGTTTCGACTAGATTCCTCGAAGGACCATTTTTATTTTGCTGCTGGGAAGAGATTATTAGCTGTGAGCTAATTCGAGGATTTTTTCTGTATCGTTCATTAGAATTATTTCAGTCTTCCTAATCCATTCTCACATTTTTATTTTGCTGGTGGGAAGAGATTATTAGCTCTGTGCTAATTCGAGGATTTTTTCTGTATTGTTCACTAGAATTATTTCAGAATGGTTTTGACTAATTTTTTGGAATTTTCTCCACTTCTGAATTGAAATATTTAGGTTGCTCAACCAGTCTACTTAATCCATTCCTCTATGTGACATTTTTATTTTGCTATTGGGAAGAAATTATTAAGCTTTGTTCTATTTCGAGAATTTTTTCTGTATCGTTCATTAGAATTATTTCGAAATGTTTTTGACTAATTTTTGGAATTTTGTCCACTTCTGAGTTGAAATATTGCTTCCTCAACCAGTCTTCTTAATTCACTGCCAAGTACGAGATGTCTCGTAACCAGTAATAGTTCATAGCCTAAAAGCTTATGAATTGTTAGAAAATGTAATAATATTTTCTTTTTAAAGAACGAATTTAATGTCACTTCTTTTTATCAAAATAATAACTTAGATTACACATCTATATTGAATCTTTGCGTCCAGAGCAAAACACCATTTATCTGGCATTGAATGAGTTAATATACATAGAGTTTAGAAGTAAATTTCACGCCTAATCTAGAAACTAAAAGACCTAATAAATATTTCCCTCCAGTAATCAAATATTGTAATAGTTTGTTACTTTCATAGATTGCAATCTCAGCGAGAGCTGATAGCATGAACTCGGCTGTAGGATCCTCGGTGCTCATCACTCTCGCCCGTGCAAATAAAGTACAAAGTATACTCGTGTTGCAGCGTTGAAACACAGCAAAAGCAATATTACCCTTTATACAAATTGATGAAATTAAAATACTTCGTCGAACACGTGTCCATCTTTATCCCAGAGGAACCCACACGATCGCCACGATGTATCCTAATAAATAATTCTAGGTTTAGAAGCACCTAGCACGTGGTGCGTCAGGGCGTGCCAGCTCGAGGGTTAAACACCCCTCGACATACCGGTTCGTAGCATCGCTTACAACATTCTCGAGATTTCCTACCGCGGAGCCAGGATACATAAGGAGATGTATTTGTTTGCTTATTTACCAGCACCAGAGTGTGTACATATGTAATCAGGTTGTAGTAGGCACGGCCGTGATTTAACCGGGGCCCATGGAAAGAAAGTAACATGGTTGTAGGTGGCAGTGGCGATTTAACAATGAAACGGACCGTTGTTCGACGGAGGAGTGTTCGACGTGAACCGTCCTTGATTCTGACCAATTGTTTCGTCCTGAAGGAATTGAATATTCAATTAGAACTACGAGCTTTCACAAGCAGAGGTTATCTTCATTGATGAATGAGGGTGCTCAGGTTTAGCTTCAAATAAGGCTTTCATTTTTAGTACTTTATAGTTCAGCATGATGAGATAGAAGGATTTTAATATTAAAGCATTTTAGGGTTAGAGCATTTTAAGGTTGAAGCGCTTAAGGACTGAAGCATTTTAAAACTGATGCATTGTAAGGTTGAATCAGTTTAAGGTTGAAGCGTTTAAGGACTGAAGCATTTTAAAATTGATGCACTTTCGGGCCGAATCATTTTACAATCAAATCACTTTAATATTGAAGCACACTAACCTCGAATTACTTTATTTGTAAGATTAAATCTTCGTCGAGTTGTCGTCAGAGTCGGTTCGTAGCCGTCGCTCCGACGCAGATAGGCACGGCCGCACGTCAGCCTATAAATAGTAAAGGAAAGTCTGAAGTAACGCGGCAGAGCGTGCCGTGAATTATAATTTAATATCGTCCCGATTCGTAATACCTTGCATATATCCTTGAGTGTCTGCGGGACTGGTGAACGTACGGATCCTTCCCGAATACGCACACCCTCGCTGATCAAGCGAACAACAGGGCGCCTATTATTCAACCAAGGAGACCGCGGCGGAGGTGGTCAGTGACATACGGCCGCGAGTAACGGCTCTAGTCTCCCGTATTAGCATAACGCCTCACGATACTTTTTCAATGAAAACGCATGAATTACGTATGCGGGACCGGGAGCAGCGTGGGCCGAAATTACGCTGATGCCGTAACTCCGCTTCAACGGTGTACCCGACGTTTTATCAGAGACAACTCTTCCTGGGTCACACATTTCTTCCTGTTTTTGGAGTTTCCTTTCCCATGGTTGTGTGCAAGGTGAATATCAAAGCATTTTAAGATAGCTGTTTAGTAGTAGTTTTATTTGTTGGATACCCTAGAGTCCCATCCTTGTATTTCAACTAAGCCTTCGATACTTAAATTCACTCCAGTTAAATTACATCTTCTTCTCATAGAAGATAGAGATAGAAGCTTTTTAATATTAAAGCATTTTAGGGTTACAGCATTTTTAGGTTGAAGCGTTTAAGGACTAAAGCATTTTAAGGTTGGAGATTTAAGGATTGAGCCATTCTAAAATTGATGCACTTTGAGGTCGAGGCATTTTAGGATTGAAGCATTTTAAGGTTGAAGCACTTTGAGGTCGAGGCATTTTAGGATTGAATGCATATTTCTTCCTGTTTTTGGAGTTTCCTTTTCCACGGTTGTGTGCAAGGTGAATATCGAAGCATTTTAAGATGGCTGTCTTCGCAATAAGTAGTTTTAT